CTCACAACTATCTGTTAATTCTAGACTTAGTGGATTTGATGCCTCTGGTAACCTCCAACTTTACCAGACATGTAGGAGGTGCACAGACATACATGTGGACAAAACACCTTACACAAAAAATAAATAAATACAATTTAAAACAAAAACATTTCAGTTGGGCTGGTTCATTCACTTTGGCTAAGGGACCACCCCTAGGAAAGTGGGTTGAATAACTAGTTTTTTAATGAGATATTGTAATTTTTCCTCCCCAGAATCCCTTCTGCTAGTGCAGGAGCTTACAGACTCTGATGAACCAGCCTCCCTCTAATTTAGGCTTAAAACTAGGTTCATTCCTGTTTATGATTAAACCCTTGTTTCTCAAAGACTGGACCTTAACTACAAATGGCTCTGTACTGCCTGTTCCAGGAAATTGCATCCATTGTTTCAAAAAGTTATAATCATCTTTTAATCTTACCTTGGTTTGAAAAGGTTGTTATGACTACATGTTGTTATGACTATCTTGTGTGACCACCTACCAATCATGTCTTTGTTTCAGGAGGTTGTTATGACTAACTTGTTATGCTTATGTTTAGCGCTTGTAACCTTGCCTATTCTACATGGCAACCCCTCCATTTAGAAACCTCCTAAGTTGTTTTCCTCATGTCCAATGATGACCTCTGGAACCCCCCTTAGGGGGAGGTGGCCCATATACACAAATAAAAAAGCTTGCTTTAATTCGTTTGGTCATGGTGATTTCCGTCAGTAGTCTTTCTCCTTGTATCTTTGCGATTAACAACCAGACTACAGCCACAAAGGGTGGTAAATCTGTCAGCTTTTCTGAATTGTAGTCAGAAAAACTAATTTTTCCTATCTCTTCTAAGCATGCTTTTCTTAAGAGTCTGGGCTTCTGAACACATTGGCACAGGAGAACACTTCCTAAATATAACACCAGTAACACAGACACTGAGAGCAACAATTAATAAATGGGACCTCCTGAAACTGAGAAGCTTTTGTAGAGCAAAGAACAGGGTCAATAAGACATAACGGTAGTCTACAGAATGGGAAAAGATCTTCACCAACCCCACATCTGACAGAGGGCTGATCTCCAAAATATATAAAGAACTCAAAAAGTTAGACTTCAAAATACTGAACAACCCAATTAAAAATGGGCTACAGAGCTTAACAGAGAATTCTTAACAGAGGAATCTCAAGTGACTGAAAGACATTTAAAGAATTGCTCAACATCCTTAGTCATCAGGGAAATGCAAATCAAAACAACTCTGAGATACCATCTTACACCTGTCAGAATGGCTAAGATCAAAAACACTGAAGACAGCTTATTTTGGAGAGGATGTAGAGCAAGGGGAACACTCCTCCACTGTTGGTCAGAATGCAAACTTGTACAGCCACTCTGGAAATCAGTATGGCGGTTTCCCAGAAAACTGGGAATAAGTCTTCCTCAAGACCCAGCTATACCACTCTTGGGCATATACCCATGGAATGCTCAATTGTACCACAAGGACACATGTTCAACTATGTTCATATCAGCACTATTCATAATAGCAAGAACCTGGAAACAACCTAGATGCCCCTCAACTGAAGAATGGATAAAGAAAATGTGGCACATATACACAATGGAATACTACTCAGCAGTAAAAAACAATGATATCAAGAAATTTGCAGTCAAATGGATGGAACTAGAAAATATCATCCTGAGTGAGGTAACCCAGACTCAGAAGGACAAATATAGTATGTACTCACTCATAAATGGATAGCAGATGTGAGGGAAGAGATGGCCAGACTGCAACCCACAGCTCCAGAGAGGCTAGCTAGCAGGGAAAGACCCTAGGAGGGACACATGGATGACCCATTGAAGGAGAAGTGGATGAGATCTACATGAGCAGACTGGGTGTGGGGAGGGGGTGGCAGAGGGCAAGGAGTGGGGAATGAGAACATAAGGAAATAGGAGGGTCGAGCTGGAACAGGGACAGAGTGGGAGGGCAGGGAGGAAGATACCATGATAGATGAGGACATTATAGGAATAGGAAGAGGCAGGGTGCTGGGGAGGCTCTCAGGAACCCACAAAGATGACACCACCTTGGACTGCTGGCAGTGGTCCAGAGGGTGCCTGGACTGGATTATTCTGGTGACCAGTCTAGCGAATACCCTAACTATCATCATAGAGCCTTTGTCCAGTGACTGATGGAGACAAATGCTAAAATCCACTGCCAGGTGCCAGGCTGAGCTCCAGGAATCCAATCGATGAGAGATAGGAGGGGTTCTACAGGTGGGGGACATTGAGATCATGATGGGAAGAAGTGCAGAGATGACCAGCCACAGTAGTGGAAGCCCATGAACTGTATACTAGCTGCTGTGGAGCCCCCATAGGACTGGACTAGGCCCTCGGGATACGGAAGATGGTTGTTTGGCTCAAACTGTTTAGGGAACACCCAGGCAGGGGGATTGGGATCCATCCCTGGTGTATGGGCAGGCTTTTGGGAATTCAATGCCTGTGGTGTGGCACCTTGCACAGCCTTGGTACAGTGGGAAGGGGCTTGGACCTGCCTAGGCTCAGTGTGCTGGGCTTGGCTGACTCCCCATGAGAGACCTTGATTTGGGGGATGTGGGGATGTGGGGTGGTTTGAGAGGAAGGGCTGGGAGATGGGAGGAGGGAGGAGGTGGGGTCTGTGGCTGGTATGTGGAGTGAGTAGAAAATTTCTTAATAAAGAAAAATGGAAGAAAAAAAAAAAGAGTCTGGGCTACCCTCTGTCCAGCATTTCGGGGTTTCTTTCTTTTAAACTACCTTCCTGTCACATGGCTGCTTGTCTGCCATGTGTCTGATCTCCATGCCAGCTTCAGTGACATGTCTTTTTTACTTCTATTTGTCTCCTCCGGGCAGCCATTGAAGCTTTATGGTTTGCATGACTTCAGATTTTTCTTTTCAACTCTAATAAAATTGTCTTTGTGCTCCATTTGGGTCCATTCTTAAATTATTTTGCTGAGTCCAAAATTCCCAAAAGGGGGCCCCAATGTTCCTTCTGTATTATCTGGAAACCACTAAAGGTTCCCAGAATCCCACTAACATTTGGAGGTACACAAATTGATTAGTGCTGAAGCCTCTCTGAGAAGAAATAAGCCTTATCTTTCTCTGCTCTCTGGAAGAAGAAAGTCTCTCGTTTTCTTTCTTCTCAGGCTTTTGTGGCTGACTGATGACCACATGGTGGGAGGTAAAAAAGTACTACCTTCTCTGGGCACATGATTCTTTCTTCTTTTCCTCTCTACTACAGTTCTCTCAGAGGACCTGGAAGACTAGATCAGATTTGGTATAAGGGAGAATAAACAGAAAGTCTTGGTGTGGTTAAATCTAACTGCCTTAGACAATGTAAAACAGTTGCTTTTCTAATGGGGTAAAAATACCACACACTGAGGTTTGATCAGGATTAGCTATTTTATTTTAACAAGTTAGTTTCACAGGTGTAAGGAGCTACAGAGGTAGACCTCATCCAAATCCCCCAGAATGTTAATTCCTGACTCTCCCTCCCTAGCTCCTGGTTAGTAGAGCCCATCCTTAGGGGAGATATCACATGTACTTTACGGCCTGTTGACCTCTATGCTATCTTGGTCAGAGACCACACTAGATTCTAGGCCTTTTAGTTAAAGGACCCACCCTCATAGTCACATATATTTTGTAAAGGAGTTTCTAAGTAGTCACACCTTAAGCTTTACTGTATATATGGAATTGGAATGACTGTTGCCTAGAAACCTAGAGTTGGAATGATTGGTGCATGGAAACTGTTTTCCAAATGTACAAATTAAATATACTGACAATGAACCTCCTGGCATTAGACTCATTGAAGTCCAAACCAAGCTGACAAAGTAAATCTCAACCAAGTTTTCATTCTCATCTCTTCTCGGATCACTGCCTGCATTGACACCTGGAGTATTCCCCTCAGTCTACCACCATATACATGGACAGCTGCTATGGTTTTACAACTTGTATGTCCACAGTATGATCCATAAAGAAAGTGAGCTTCTCACCAATGGAGAAAAAGACATTAAAAGCAAAGAAAAACATCTTGGGCCTCCTAGAAGCTATATGGCTTCCCCTATAAATTGCTGTCCTCTACTGCCAGGCTGCTGAACTAGCTGCCCTAAGACAAGTGGGGCCTATGGATATTTTGGTGAGATAACACAACCCACTGCTGCCTGAGACTCCACGGTAAAGAAAAAATGGGTAACTCAAACCCACTAATTGATGGAGGACATAAAAGGGAAAGATCATTGTCCCAGAAACAACTGGTAAGGCTCTGGTAACTGACCTTCACCAGGCTACTCATCTGGGGTCCACACAACTTTGTGAACTGTTCAAACCAAGGTATGCAATACCTTGACTGGACGGTCTAGCACAGGGTATCTCAGTCAGATGCCAGGTTTGTGCTCAAGTAAATCCAAAACTGAGAGTCTTTACCCAGAAGGAGTCTGAATGAGAAACTAAAACCCAGGCAAACTTTGGGAAAACTGACTTCATGGAGGATAAAGGGGGGAAGGGGGAATAAAAGTATTTCCTAGTTTTTATAGATACTTTTTTGGGCTGTGAAGAAACTTTCCCAACTTGGACTGAAACTCCTCAAATAGTAGCTTAAAAGCTACTCCAGAAACTGGTCTCCTGATTTAGCCTCCCTCTAGCATTGAGGTTCAGTAAAGTCCTGGCTTTCATAGCCAAAACCTCTCAATTAATAGTAAAAGCTTTAGGGATAGACTGGAAACTTCATTGTATATCTAGACCTCAGAGTTCTGAGCAAGACATTAAAAGAAACTCTAACAAAACTCTCATTAGAGTCCAGCAAAGTAAGGATAAACTTTCTTCCTTTGCTTAGCTTTGAACCCTCTGCACCCCATATAGGGAGGGATTCATACCCTATGAGATTATGTTTAGAAGACCATTCCCACTGCTTCCCAGGCTCAGAGACCAGTAAGGAATGTAACAGACCCTCAGACCTTAGAAGGCCCCGAGCTCTTACCACAATTGACTCCATGATGGAAGTACCATTTAGGCCATAAAGCTCAGCACACAGATAGCACAACCTGCAAAAATGAAAACAAAGATCTAACCCATCAAAGTCCATAGTTCTGGGAAAGTCTCTACATGTACTAACCTTGTTTTTGGCTTCTGTAGCTCCACATCTGGCTAACTGTTCTTGTTAACTGAAGTAGGTCAACCCAGAATATGGTTTTTATGTTTAAAAGCTCACTCTGAGAAAGGCTCAATAGTACACTGGGATCCTGAATAGCCAATGTAGTTACTGGCTAGCTAATAAAGACTTTCTATTTGCTTAAACCTATGTCCAAGAAGTCTTCTCTGGTGGATACCCCACAACATCACAAGGTTAGAGAGGCTAATGGGTTAAGAGCCTTTGATGCTCTTGCAAATGATCTGGATTCAGTTCTCAACAACCACATGGAGGCCAGAAACTAACTCCGGTTCCAGGGGATCTAATGCCTATGTGGCACATACATGATTCTGGCATATACTCATAAACATATAATCTTTAAAAGACAAAACCTATGCTGCAAAACATGGACAAGGTGTATAATGTCATAGTGAGCAGAAATATATAAAATTCTTTGACCACAGAAAATCCCTAGACCCAACAAAAATGCAAGGAACAAAAAATTATAGCAGCCATTATCCTAGCACTGGCAAGGCAGAGGCAGGCATATCAGAAAGTTCCTGGACAGCCAGAGACACAGAGTGAGAACCTGTCTGAAAAAAAAAAAAAGAAGCAAACTTGTAAAATTACTAGATTAATGACCTATTATTTCCCTGCATATCTGCAGTGAACATTTGGGCATTAATTTAAAAGCATCATTTATACAGCCCCAACGATAACAGGTGTTAGAAATACATATAACTTTAAAGGCCTTTAATAAAAATCTATAAACACAAACTTTAAATTCTTAATTAAAACATTTAATTAATAGAAACATTCCAATTGTGGATAGAAATCCTTAAAATTAAAAAAAAAATTAAAAAAAAAAAGAAATCTCAGTTTGAGAACACAGGGCTCAAGAGATGACTCAGCATGTTAAAGGTGTTTAGTGCCAAATCTGAACACCTGAGTTTGACACCTTGGACCCATATAGTATAAAGAAAGAATTGATTCTCTCAAGTTGTCTTCTGATGTTACACATGCTTAGTAGTGTGCCCATCTATCTACAAACATATATGCACAAATAAATGATTTTTAAGATTTATAGATTCAACACAATCTGAAAAAAGTCCTACTTACATTAATAACAAAATTGATTCTATGGGTAATATGGAGGGGCAAAAGCAGTAGTTCTCAACCTTCCTAATGCCACAACCCTTTAATATAGTTCCTCATGTTGTGGTGACCCCAACCATAAAATTATTTTGTTACTACTTCATAACTGTAGTTTTCCTACTGTTATGAATAGTAATGTAAATGTCTGATACACAGGATATCTGATACGAGACCTCTGTGAAAGGATCATTCAACCACCCTAAAGTGGTCGTGACCCACAAGTTGTGAACCACTGGGTTAAAGATATGGCTAGGCAGTTAAGAGATCTTGTTCTGGCAAAGGATCACTACTGGGTTCCTAGCACTCATGGTGGCTCATGACCATCTAACTCCAGCTCAAGGGGATTTAATGCTATCTCTGGCCACTGAGGGCACCAGACATATGTAAAATGCAGACAGAAATGTAAGCAAAACATCCAAACACATAAAATAAATAAATCTTAAAAATAAAGTTATGTGGGAAAGGGAAAACTATAAAAATGGTCAAAACATGGGACTGGTATGAAGCACAGTTGGCAGTTTTCCTAGCACCTGGAAGCCTTGGGTTCCTTTCAAAGCATCACATAAAACCAGGCATGGTTGACACATAACTTTAATCTTTAGCTCTAAAGGTGAGTGAAAAGAGAAAGATCAGAAGCTCAAGGTTACCCCAGTTACAAAGTGAGTTTGAGGCTAGCTAGACTTGAGTTATGACTGTCTATCTCAAAAGAAAAGAAAAAGGTCAACACACTGGAACAGTACACTCACTTACTACCATCATCTAATTTTAAAACTACAATAAAAACAATCTACTTTTGGCGGGCATGGTTGATGCACAACTTTAATCACAGGCAGAGGCCAGCCTGGTCTACAAAGAAAGCTCCAGGAGAGCCAGGACTACATAGAGACCCTATCTCAAAAACCAAAATAAACGTTCTACTTCACAATAAACAGATGAAGAGAAAATTCAGAAATAAATGTGCAAAAATACGAACTGTTTTTGACAAAGAAGCAAAGAAAATTGAATTTCCTTTATTAACTAACAGTGGACCACTTGAACATCTATATGTAAATATATTAATGACAGATTTTATAATCTCCACAATAATAACTCTAAGTACATACTAAACCTAAATATGAAATGCGAACTGCAGAACCTCTTAAAGATAACTCAGAGAAGCTAGACCCTGTAACACATGCACACCTCCTGAGGTCCCACACCAAAGTGACGTCACCGACAACGATGGCGAGAGAGGTGGAGCCTCCCGCCATGGTGCTCAGCACTCTACGCTGACACAGCCCTAGGGGCGGAGCTGACCACAGCCAGGGAGCCCTCCGACACAGCTCCTGCCACAGACAGCTTCGAGGAGGTACCGGCGCTCAGCCCGCCGCTCCTCCCCGTCTGGGGACAGTGGCCCCTCGCTCACCATAACCAGCTTCCGAGTTCGCCGGTGCTCTCCTCCCAGCTCCTGGCAGCGGCCTCAGATCGCAGCCCACGAAGCACCTCACTAAGCCTAAAGCGGAACCCCTGTACCGCGGCGAAGAACCCGGCTCTCGCTGCCCAGTAGCGCCCCTTATTGGACAGCCTGTCTGGCTGCTCCGATTGGCTAACGAGATCTGAGTGATAGGAGCAGTTCCACTGTGGAGGGAGTGGAGCCATAGAGACACAGACAGCCACAACCCCCAAATTACAGACATGCAAAATTACAGACATGCGGGAGCTGTGGGCAGGTTTGCTTTTAAGAATTTACTCCTTCCCTCGAGGGCTGGCTCTTCTGTCTTATATTCCACAGGCACAGGGTCGTTCATGTGCACTCTCCACTACACAAAATGGCCAATTCAGGGATCGCCTTGCCTCACAGTGGGGATTTTTACACGTAAAAATAAAAATAAAAATTTTAAATACGTGTATTTAATTAAAATAAAACGTAGGAGAAGCACTTGTGTGCCACAGCGTGTGAGACAGAAGGCAATTGGCTAGAGTTGACTGTACCTTTCTACCATATGGTTCCTGGGGATTGAACTCAGTTCATAGGACTTAGCTGCCAGCACTTTTACTAGCTGAGCCATTTAGCTTTCTCAAACCTTGATTTTTTTTTAAAAAAAAGAAAAAAAACACAATTAAGAGTAACTATTATTGACTTAAAAGGGGTGGGAGTGGCAGAAACTGCAAAATTTAGAAATGAAAGTCTAGCTGAGTCCTGTAATCCAGTACTTGGGAGGGTGAAGCAGAAAAATTCAAGGCCTACCAAGGCTACAGGCTGGATTCAAAGCCAATTTTGGCAATTTAGTGAGACCCTGTCTTAGAACAGAAACAGACACAAAAACTCTACAATGCAATGCTTCTGTAACATGGTTGAGACCACGGGTTGAATCCCGTACCCACCTCAAAACTGAAGGCAAACTACAGAAAAAAAATGGATTAAGGACTGGAGTACAGGCTGGTAAGAGTGTGCACTGCTCTTCCAGAGTACTCTAGTTCTCTTCCCAAGCACACATACCAATCAGCTCACAACTGATGCCCAAAAGCAGGACTTGCTTTTGCCCAAAAAATAAAATGAAATCAAACAGACACACCGCCAGCAGTACTGTATCAATTACTGAGAGATAAGAATTTGGTTTCTTGGAGCTGGAGAGATAGCTCAGCAATTAAAAGAGCATTTACTGCCCTTAAAGAAGCAACATCATTCATATGACCACGGGCACTGCATACATGTGGTATACATATACACATAGGTACTCACAAATACTAAAAAAAAAAAAAAAAAAAAAAAAAAAAACAAACAAAAAAAAAAAAACAAAAAAACTTTTTAAAAACTTTTTTAAGAAATTAAAAAAGTTTAATTGGGCTCCTACCTGGGCTGTGTTGAGCAGAGAAACATGTGAGTTAAAAGTTCAAAAGAAGGGCAACTATGCAGAAAATCTCTTATAAGGTTAGTTTGCCTTTATATATTAAATAAATAAAAACAAAGAAACAAGCTAGTTAGGGAAGTAGCACAGTGGGTAGAACGCTCACATGGCATGTGTGAGGCCCTGTGTTTTATCCCCACACCATGTAAAAAATCAGGCTTCATAGCATATTCTGTAACCCAAGCCTTGAGAGGTAGAGGCAGGTGGATCAAACTTTTATCTTCAGCTACATGGCAACTTGAAGTCAGCCTAGAATACAGGCCTCTGTCTCAAAAATAAATAAATAAATAAATAAATAAATAAATAAATAAATAAATAAATAAATAAATCAGTATACTGAAATGAAGTTATTGACATTCTTTTCCAAACAAATTCCATAAGATGACCAGAATCTTTGAAACTATGTAAGAAACTCTTAAAACAAGCTAAGGTTGTTGTTTTAGTTTTTTTGAGACAACAGTTCCCTATGTAGCCCAAGCTGACATTAACCTTGTAACCCTCCTGTCTCTGCCTACTGAGTGCCTGGATTACAGGATTGCACATCACCTTTGGCCTCTTATGAAAAATTTAAAACTAGACTGGATCTTCAACATCTTGAGTCCACATTTGCAAATTTACTGACTCAATGAAACTATAACTGCAGCCTATTAATTGATGCTTGTAGAAATTTCAAGGTCATCTGTGGACACGTACAAACATTTTTTTTAAAGATGCCTGAAGCTTGTGTGTCAGAGTTGGAGAAAAAAATGACACTGCTGTTTTATTTCTGCTGCCAACAGAATAAAATTACTTCAGGTAAATGAAGCTGTGCTTGGTGGCAAGTGACCGTAAACCCAGAACTTCAAAGACTGAGTCAGGAGGATTGTGGGTTCCAGATGGCCTGAACTATGGAGACCTTGTCTGAAGAAGAAAACAAAATCCCAGCATTCTGGATGCAGAGGCAGGCCTGATCTACAGAGGTTTACAGAGGAACCCTGTCTTAAAAAACCAAAACCAAAGCAAAAAAACAACAACAAAAAGAAAACAAAACCAAACAAACATCAAAAAATACTTTAAAGCGAAAGAGGCTAGAGTTACGTAAATACTCTAACGTAAAAGTGTTCAAGCATCTCATAGTACCCAGTACTTCAATTATTGTATAATAAGCCCTTGATAAATGTCTACAGAAATTAAATTTTAAGTATCAGAAAATTAAAATTTTTAAATTAACTCTACAGGAGACTGAAGGCATGACTGAATGTTTTGGAATCAGAGCAGTGATGGCTGCATGATATAGTGAACCAAACCATTTAAAATTCTATGCATGAATTCTATTCCCAAAGGCAAAAAACTGTAATTAATCTCTGTGATGTTACAATTTATTTCAGTGAAACTGTTTCCTTGTGAACACCAACTCAGCAGGTAAAAGTACTTTTTTTCCATGAAGCCTTTACTTGAGTTTGATTCCCAGGTTCCACATGTTTGAAGGAGAAAACCAATTCCTGCTAGCTATCCTCTGGTCTTCACTTACTTATTCTAAAACACACACACACACACACACACACACACACACACACACACACACACACAGAGAGAGAGAGAGAGAGAGAGAGAGAGAGAGAGAGAGAGAGAGAGAGAGAGACCATACAAACACACTAAATAAATAAATAAATGTAAGAGTCACAATCCTATCCCTAAGAACTGTAATTACAATGTTGTGCAATGAAATAAATTAAATTCTGAATTCACAATTGAGAAAGGCCAGACTTGAAGGTATCTCCCTTTTTGTGTTTTTGTTTTTGCTGCTCTGTTTAGAAATTAACTCTCACTGTTGCCTAAAATGGCCTAAATACCCAAGACTTGCCTGGACCTCATGGAATCACCCTGCCCTACTAAGTGGAGATTGTAGGCCTTCCCAAATGCCCAATTTCCAGTTCCTTAAAAGCAAAAGACTAGCTGGGCATGTCTTTGGTCCCATCACTCAGGAGGCAGAGGCAGGTGAGTATCTCTGATTTGGAGGCTACCCTGATCTACACAGTGATTTCCAGGCCATCCAGGACTAGAAAAAAAAGTGTCAAAAAACAAAATAAAACAACAAAAAAATAAAAGACAGATAGTCTGATGTAGGGCCACTTCATAGAGATTTTACCTTAACTATGTAGTTCTGAAAACACTCCAAAGAGTCTATGAAAAATTTCCTATCAACTCTACCTTTGTCAAGTATGGTACATTAACAATGTGGCAGGAGAAGAGGGATGTACAGAGAGTGGTTTCAAGATTGACATGTAAGAGGAGTTGTTACAAATGGCCCAGGTTAATTCCCAGCATCCACAAGGAGGCTCACCACCTTCTTATCCACCAGGCATGCACGCATGAGGTGCACAGGCATATTTTCAAGCAAAACACTCATAAAATAATAAAAATATCTAAAAATAAAATTAAAAAAAAGACTGATATATAAAAGCCAAGAGCTGGTGATTCAGCTGTAGCTCAGTTGGGTGCTTCCCTAGCATTCACAAAGCCTTAGGCTCAATATTCAGCATAGCATGAACACAGTGTGGTTGGGTATCCCTGTTATGCCAGCACTTAGGAGGTGAAGGTAAGAGGATCAGGAATTTAAGGTCAACTTCAGCTACATAATTGAGTGTGGTGGTTTGAATAAAAGTGACCCCCATAGGATCATATGTTTGAATGCTTAGTCATTAGGAAGTGGCATTACTTGACAAGGATTAGGAGGTGTGGCTTTGATAGCGGAGTTATGAGGTTTCAAAACCCTGAACCAGGTCCAATGTCTCTCTCTTCCTGCTGCCTGTGGATCCTAATGTAGAACTCTCAAACACTTCTCTAGCACCATAGCTCCCTGTGTACTACCATGCCACCATAAAGATGAACTAAACCTCTAAAAACTGTAAGCAAGCCCAAAATTAAATACTTTCTTTGATAAAAGTTGCTGTGGAAATGTGCTGTCGGATAATGCTCTTGTACACTGTAAAGACTTGTCACTCAAATTGGTTTAATAAAATGCTGATTGGCCAGTAGCCAGTTAGAAAGTATGGGTAGGGCAACTAGACTAGGAGAATTCTGGAAAAAGGAAAAGCAGAGTCAGGAGTTGCCAGCGAGACACAGAAGAAGCAAGATGAGAATGACATATTGAGAAAAGGAACCAAGTCACATGGCTAAGCATAGATAAGAATTATAGGTTAATTTAAGTGTAAGAGCTAGTTAGTAATAAGAAGTCTGAGCATTTATAAATAATATTAAGCCTCTGAGTCAATTATTTGTGAAGCAGCTGCTGGGTATTTGGTAACAGACAGGCAGGAAAGAAACTTCCACCTGCATGTGGCACATAAACATTTGGCAAGAATTTCTACATAAAACCTCAGAAAGCTTTAAAAAAGGATTTAACACAAAAATGGAGTCAAATGCAGCTTCTTGATAACTATCTTTTCTCTGGTAGGCTCTGTTTGCTGGCAGTAAACAGAAGCATGTCTCCTTCAAAAGATGGCTTCCTGACTCAGCATTAATGGCAAAAAACTGCATGGTTCTTTTAAGAGGCCCTGCTATCAAACATGGAGTTTATGAGCAGTGGGTGGCACACTAATCAGTGGCAGCATGGACCAAAAGATTTCTCAGAGTTGGAGCACTAAACATGGCTTTCAGAGTGGTGGTAAGTGCACCTCCACCATGAGACTAGCTTCTCAAGGAACCAAGGATTGGGACAGTGGCAGCCACCAAAACTGCAGCTTTAATCCTAGTCATGCCTGCTTAGGAGATTAAATGCTCATA